AATGGTTCACTTACATAAAGCAAGAGCTGTCTGTACTATGCTTTTACCTAAAAGGGATCAAAGAAAGAAGGAAAGGAACCATATACACAGAAATATTTATAGCAGCACTTTTGGTTATTGCAAACAAAATCAGCTGGTGAATGGTTGAACAAAAGTAAGCATCGGAATGTGATGGAATAGTAATGTGGTGTAAGAAAGAACAGGACAGATTCAGAATCCTGGGAAGATTTATATGAATTGATGCAGAGTGAGATAAGCAAACCAACAGAACAATTTATACAATAAGTATAACATTGTAAAAGAAAACCACTGTAAAAGACTTGAGAGCTATGATTGATACAACAACCAGACACCCTTCCAGGGGACTGATGATGATTTTTGTTTTCCAACTCTTATAATTGAGATGATTGACTAGAGGTACAGAAAGAGATAAACTTTGTTGAAAAATTTTTTTTTTTTTGCCAAGGCAATGGGATTAAGTGACTTGCCCAAGGTCACACAGCTAGTAAGTGTTATGTGTCTGAGGCCGGATTTGAACTCAGGTCCTCCTAAATCCAGGGCCAGTGCTCTATCCACTGCGCCACCTAGCTGCCCAAGATAAACTTTTTAGACATGGACAATGTATGGATCTGTTTTGCTTTACTTTAGTCATTTGTAATAGAAGGGATTTTTGGAAAAGGGAGAGGGGGAGAAGTGATAGTGCAACGAAAACTGTGTGTGTGTGTATAAGAAGAGGTGGAAGTTCAGAAAGGGACACATTAAGCAGGATAGTGTTGGAACTACTACAATAAATTTAATATATACTTAAAAAAACCCAGCTGTGCATAATATGATAGCTATCATCCATATGATGCTTTAAAGTTTGTCAAACACTTTATAAAGATCATTTCATTTTATCCTCACAACAACCCTAGGAGGAAGGGACTATTATTATCATCCTCATTTTACAGATGAGAAACTGAGGCAGACAGAGAGAGGTTAAGTGACTTGTCCATAGTCTCATAACTAGTAAGCCCCTTAGTCTGGATTTGAATTCAAGTCTCACTGACTTCTAAATTTAGCATTTCATCCATGTACCATCTAGTCACTTCAATCACATTATGTTGTTCAGTTATTTCATTTGTGTCTAATTTCATAACCCCATTTGGGGTCAATATACTGGGGGTTTGCCATTTCCTTCTTCAGTTCATTTTTACAGATGAGAAAACTGAGGCAAATAGGATTCAATAACTTGCCCACAGTGCCACAGCTACCAAGTGTCTGAGGCCATATTTGAACTCAGGAAGATGAAGTCTTCTGACTCCACATCCTGTACTCCGTCCACTGTGCCATCTAGCTTGTCTTTTTTATTTTTTTTCTGATTCTTAATTATATAAAAACTTATTTTTTTATATTTTAATATATATTTATTTAATATATATTTAATATACAATTATATAAAAACTTATATTTTATTATATAAAAATCATTTATATTGGCTGATGTTTGTCAAGTTTATGTATTAAATAATAACAAATAACGGGGAGATCCAAAGAAAGAGAAGGAAAAAAAAAGGACAAGAGGGAAAGAAAAAGAGACAGAGAAGGGAAATCAGAGGAGCTGGGATATTAGTGGTAGGGCTGGGTTTATAGGTGGGTTAGAGGTCAGAGTAAACTTGACTAACTGTCAGGGGAGGAACAGAGTAGGATCCACTGATGGCCCTTGACCTTTCAAATTTGCTGAGGAAACAAATCCTAAAGTAAGTGAAAGGTGCATGGATCCCAAAGAGTCTGCTCCAGTCGCTGGTCTTTGGAGTGAGGATAGCTATAGGGGATGAGGAGGAGGGGAATGGAAAGAGCACCAAACTGGAAGTCAGGAGAATTTGGGGATGAAGCGCTCAGGCAGACACACTCAGGCCCCTATTCCAAAGGTGGGGCGAATGTCAGTTCAACCACCTCCAGCTAGATCTTCTGATGGGAGTAGAGAGGCAGAAAGGGGACAGGAGGTGCATAGCTCTGTGCTGAGGTCAGAGGCCTGTCAACTGTGACTCATTAAAGAAAGCACCCTCAGAGAGAACACTCAGTCCCAAGGATTAAATATCAGCTTTGAGGAGTGTTAATGGCTTAAGCAGGTGGCAGGGAAGTGTTTGAGTGTTTCTGATGGTGCTCCTAAATGGTGAGATGAGGGAGGCAGCAGGAGTGGGCACCCTGGTAATAACCTCCCTCCTTTCCTTGTTCAGTTGTGTCCAACTATCCTTGATCCCATTTGGAGTTTTATTGGCAAAGTTGTTTGCCATTTCTTTCTCCAGCTCATTTGACAGAAGAGAAAACTGAGGCAAACAGTATTAAGTGATTTGCCCAAGGTCGCACAGCTAGTAAAATCTGAACTCAGGTCTTCCTGACTTTAGGTTCAGATCTCTATCTACTGTACCACCTAGCTACCCTTCCTACAGGTTTCCTGTAGAAGGTAGCATTTTAGCTGGGACCTAAAGAAACCAAGCAATTGAGGAGGTGGAGAAGAAGAGAGAGAACATTCCAGACAGGGGGGAGAGTCAGAGAAAATGCTTGGAACTGAGAGATGGAGCGTCTTCTTCTTGGAACAGCCAGGAGACCAGTGTCCCTGGATCAAAGAATACATGTTAAGGAGTAAGGCATAAGAAGACTGGAAAGGTAGGGGCAGGACTAGATTATGTAGGGCTTTGAATGCCAAACAGAGCATTTTGTATTTGATTCTGGAAGTAATAAGGAGACACTATCTATTCCATTGGCCCAGTGGGCATCTTAAATTTTCCATAGTCCAAGTTACCTCCTGAGCTCTGCAATCAAGTCTTCCCCAATAGAATCAGCATAAGGCCCTAGAAAGAGGTTTGGCTTGGTAGTCAAGACATCTTTGTTCCAATCTTGGATCTGCCTCTAATTAGTTGTATGATCTGGAGCAAACTCTTTCCTACTTTGGACCTCAGTTTCTTCATCTTGAAATGAAAGGGTTGGGTTTCAAAGGTCTCTTCTCATTTTGACGTTACATGATTGATGAATTCCCCTCCTCAAATAACGCCAGCCTTAAGAACAAAGGAGAGGGCAATGGCAGACCATTCCAGTATCTTTGCAAAGGAAATCCTAAACGTGGTCATGAAGAGTCAGACAGGACTGAAACAACTGAATACCACCACCACCACCGCAGGAAATCATTCCCCTTAATTCTAGCGCCTTCCCTCTGGACTATTTCCTGTTTATCCTCTACTTAGCTCATTTAAACATAGTTGTTTGCAGTCTCCTGTATTAGATTGTGAGCTCCTTGGTGGCAGGGTCTGTCTTTGCCTATCTTGGCATCTCCAGTGCTTAGCATAGTGCCTGACACATAGTAGCCGCTTAATTAATACTTACTGACTAAGACAACATTGGTCAGAAAGTAATAGATTTAAGGATCTCAGGATATTTAGAGCTTCATGATACAGGGTACCTACTCCCTCTTGTCCCACATGTATTTAGTGAAATAAGTGCTGAATTGGGACTCAAGTTCAGAGTTCAAATTCTATTCCAACTCTGCCACTCAGTACCACTTAGTGAGGGATCTTGAATGGATTACCTTGGTAACTTCTCTGGACCTTGGATCCTTCCTCTGTAAAAATGAGGAGGTTGAACTAAATAATCACTGAGGTCCCTACTGGCACTGAAGTATCAACTGGGCCCCTCCACAGAAGCCTTGACCCTAATGTGTTTGTGCCCATCGCAGGAGTACATCTGAGTATCTGCAACAGGGCCTTCCATACAGTAGGCACTTAATAAATGTTTTTTTGAATTATATGTCTGTGGCAGATCATCATGAATATAATTTTTATAAATATACATCTTCCCCCATCAAAATTTGTTGAATGAATGAACAAGTGGTATGTAACCTCGAATTGCATTTTTAGGCTGTGGAATGTAGAGTCATTCAAAAGAATAACAATGATAATAAATAGCATTCATTTAGCACCATTAAGGGTTACACAAAGCTTTAAATATTCTCTCCTTCGATTCTGTAAGGTCCTAATTCAGGCATTAGTAAATGATGTTTTCAAGAGTGATGTGGAATCCTGGAGGGAGGAAGAGGAATTCGAGGGTATTTCAGTTCTAAACCTTCTTAGAATTCCAGCAGCGTGAGAAAAGAGCTTAGAGGTCCTTTAGTCCAACAAAGGAGGAAACTGAGGCTCTGGGAGAGAGTAACTTATGGAGGTGGGAGGTAGTAAGGGAAGGTTGTCACACAGCTAGTTAGTGGCAGAACTAGAGGTATTCAAAAATTGGTAAGTACTCGTTATGGGATTACTTTTTAATTGGTTTTCCCTTGCATTCTCAAGGCAAATGAAGGTGAATTTTATGACTGTAATTGACTTGCTTCAGCAAACACCTGAAAGTAAAAACATAATCAGCCTTAGCATAAAGAGAGCCTGGGTAGGAAGCTTTTAACATTTCTTCGTTAGGATTAGGCATGTGATAGAGTGAGTGAGTGCCCCTTTCCCTCCTGTGGCAAGGGGGCATGGCCTGGTGTCAAAAGATCTAGATTCACATCTCCCCTCTGCTCTTTACAACCTGTCCTTCCTGCCCAGTTGACTTCTCTGTGAAATGATGGTGTTGGCCGTGTTTTCTTTTCCACTCTAAACTTTTGGGGGAGAGATGGGTAGAGAATTTAGCTTTCTCAGAGGCTCAGGGGCCTGACTTAAGGCACTGTTCACTCTGCCCCATTCATCCTCATGGAGACATTCCTGTTCCCAGGCCCCTCCCTTATCTCCTGCCTACCTGGCCCCAGGAAATGGGATTGGGATTGGGAGCCAGAGTGTGGGCCAATTACTACCTCTCAGAGGGTGGTACCACTTTAGGGGAACCTGGGTAGCCCTGGAAGCCATGCCTATAAGGAGGGACAGGTTTTTGTTGTGTGGGCTTGGGCTTTTCCTGTGAATGTGGCAGATGGCCAAAAGGGAAGGCAAGCGGCTAGGCTGCCACTGGCCTAATTCCTGACCCCATCTTTCTCCTCCCGGAACCTAGGTGACTCCTGCAGGAGAGAATGCCTCAGGCCCAAGAGCAGATAGAAAGCAGCTGGTCTTGGGTGGTATTGCTGGCCACCATAGTGGTGCAGGGCCTGACGCTGGGCTTCCCTACTTGTATCGGTATCTTCTTTGCTGACCTCCAGCATGATTTCCGAGCCAGCAACAGCGAGACATCCTGGTTCCCCTCCATCCTGATCGCATTACTTCACGCTGGAGGTGAGTTCCCTTCAAGGGGGAGGGCCTGGAAACATAGACCATGAGGCTGAAGGAGTGGGGTTAGGGGCCGCATGCTCATTTGAGTCCTAACTCCTAGGATCAGGGTATTAGAGCTGAAAAATGGCTCTTAGAAAGCACCTAATCTAAAATCTCATTCTACTGAAGTAGAACCTGTGGTCTAATGACTTGCCCAAGGTCACACAGCTGGTTGGTGAGGTGAATTATAGAATCCTAGAATGTGAGAGCAAGAAGGGGCCTTAGAGATCATCTGGTCCAACTTACTCCTTTGACATATGAGTTAATAATACTTTTTAGAGGGGCAGCTAGGTGGCGCAGTGGATAGAGCACCGGCCATGGAGTCAGGAGGACCTGAATTCAAATCCAGCCTCAGACACATAACACTTACTAGCTGTGTGGCAGCAGCTAGTGGTATTGCTCAGTGCTACTGAATCTCATGCTCTGGAGGATTCCCTGGACCCTGGAACTGGTTCTCTACTAGAATGATGCTGGCTGTGGATGTGGCTGGGAGTCACCCAATGTGGCTTGGGTTGTGGTACAACCCAAATTTAGTTGTAGGGTACTTGCCAGTATGCTGTAATTATTCTTAAGACTCTCCCGTTAACTACAACATCACTGAACTTGAAAGTCACAGGACCCAGATTCAGATCTTCAGCCTGCCACTTACTACCTTGAGAAAGGGACTTACTTTCTCTGGGTCTCAGTTTCCTCATCTGCAAAATGAGGAGATTAGATTAGATGGTGTCTATAGGCCATTCAAGCTATAGATCTCTGACCTGGATCCTATGAGCTTATGATCTTCTTGTTCCTTGGAGTGTTTCCAGAACTGTCTGGTCAGGGATTAGGCAGCTTATTCCAGGAGAAGATAGAAGCCACCCAGGAAGCAATCACTGTGTCTGCGCTGGATCCAATGAGAATTCTCATCACTGTGAGAAGAGGAAGTGAGGGACCAGGACATTAATATGTGAGGTAGATAGAGCCAAGAAATACGGCTTTCCCTGGTACTTTCTAGAGAGCTGGAGGGATAGGGGTGGGAAAACTGAGAGGAAGGAAAGAAATAAGCATTTATTAAATGCCTGCTGTGTGCGAGGCATTGGTTTAAGTGCTTTTAATTTATCTTCACAACAGCCTTGGGAGGTAGGTGTTATTATTATCTCTATTTTACAGTTGAAGAAACTGAGGCAGACAGAAGTTAAGTGATTTGTCCAGGTTTTTACAGCTAGTAAGTATCAGAGGCTGGATTTGAACTTGGGTCTTCCTGACTCCAGGCAAAACTCTCTATCCACTATACCACCTAGCTGCTTTGTGACCTTAGGTGGATGAGGTCAATTCAATTTAGAAGAACAACTCTTTTTTTTTTTGTTTGTTTACTTTCATTTTTTAAAAAAATTTTATTTTCAGTTTCAAATTTTCTCCCACCACCCATTGAGAAGGTAAGAAATATAATACCTATTATAATAGGAAGTCATCCAAAATATATTTCCACATTAGCCACATGAACAACTCTATTTTTCGTCCTAGTCTAAGGGGTTCTTCCCAGTGGGAGAGTCGGGGTTAGGAAGAAGTAAAAAACATACCCAGAATACAAACAAAGATGAATCAGGCATGACACAAGCAGTTTTACTCCCACACGGAGGAATGCCAGGCAGTAAAGAATCATAGAATGATTAAGAGGCTTCGATTAAGAGGCTTCATTGAGACATTTGCAACAGTGCTACTCATTAACTATTTCATATCTTACCTCCCTGTGTACAGCCCCATCAGTGCTAAGTGAATTCTTTCTTACCTCCTAAAATCTTTCCCTAGTCAAGGGAAAGATCTCTCCCTGACCAGAGGCTGGTCAACCTCTGTCACTATTTATGACCCACCTGCTGTGGAAACTGGTACCCTGATGTCCTAGTACCCAGGAAAGAGCCAGCTGCCTTTAGAGATCTCACAAGGCCTTGTACCAAAGCCGAGAAGATATGAAGAAGGAACAACCCCATCCTGGATACGGGCTTCTCTAAGACGCTCTAAGCTTACAGCTTTCCACCTTGTAGGGGACAAGCATCCCCTCCACCAACCCTATAAACAGAGTCAGCAGGAATAGGAGCCCTTAGGGATGGGGTTCCAGTTCAGCAGTCAATTGTCATACCCTGCCAGGTAGCAGTCAGGGAGTATCTGTGCCTGCTCTTCACTGACAGGAGGTAGGGAAGGAGCCTTTCCATCATGCATTGCCACTTTACATGCTACACAAAGTGCTTTGCAAATTATAAAACATTATATAAATGTCAATTATAATTGGTTTTATCTACTACACAGAACTTCTGAGGATCAGATAAAATGATATATAAAGCACTTAATGATGGGCAAAGGGACTCCACCTGTGATTTCATTAGTACAGGAACCCCCTGGTGAAGAAATTCCTTCTACCAATGCAGGTCAGCACCTTCTCTGCAAATTATAGCCTTAGTGAGTTGCCCAGACCTCTGAGAGGTTAAGTGACTTGCCTGTATATCCCAGAGGCAAGACTTGAAACCAGGTCTTCTGGATAGGAGACTGACTTCCTGTTCACTATGATGGACTGCCTCTCTTATAACTCTATGGGTAACTGTGTGACCCTGGGCAAGTCACTTAACCCCAATTGCCTAAAAAGAAAAAAAAAGAAAAACCTCTATAGGACAATATATTTATTTAGGCTATTACAAACATAAGCCATTTCTCCCTCTCAGGCCCTGAATCAGCCTCTGCTGGGACTGTCCTTCCCAACCCCCCCCCCCCCCCACTGTGGTCCCTAGAGGTTGTTTCAGTAGCTGCTTCCTGGCAAGAGTGTTGATTTCAGCCTTTGTCTTAGTAACCTAGAATGGGTTGCCACTGAGATCATTCCTGATCTCAGCCAATTCCAGGAGGTCTCCAGGAAAGAACAGGGAAAGTAGCCAGGATGTTCAGAGTGCCCGACAGAGAAGGAAATCCTCTGCCAACCCATTGGACTGGGTGTGTTTCACACACACACACATACACACACACCCCACACCCACACCCCTTGCACACATGCTACCTCCCTCAGCTTGGCCCTAGATAGTAAGAATGAAGAGGATAACAGAAGCTGGTTCAGGTTTCCTCTCCCTCCCTTTCTTCCCCTCTTACTTGGCCCACAGCATGCTCTGCTGGGTCTCTCAGCTGTCTTCCAATCACCAGGGAATGTTTTTCCTTGCTTTCTCATGAGATTTGTTGTGGTGAGATAGATTACAAGAGCTGGCAGAGAGATGGGAACAGAGACTACCTGTCCTTAGCTCATCCTCCAGCAGTGGGGGTAAAAGACCCCAGTCTAGGGAATGTCCTGGCAGGAGAAGGGATAGATTTCTGGCCCCTTATACAAAGGAATGGTGGCTGGGAGAGTAGACTGAGGGTCAGCAAGCCCTGGATTCAAGTCCTGCTTCTGAGGTATACTAACTTCATACTAAGAGACTTTAATATACAAGTTAATGTTCCTTATACTAACTTATGTGGCACAATGGATAGAACACTGGACTTGAAGTCAGGAAGACCTTAGTTCAAATCCTGCTTCAGACACTTACTAGTTGTGAAACCCTGGACAAGTCACTTAATCTCTGTCTGCCTTAGTTTCCTTATCTGTAAATTGGAGATTATAATAGCATCTTCTTTACAAGATTGTTGTGAGGATCAACTGACGTGTCTGTTCAGCCCTTAGCACAATGCTGGGCACATAAGTCCTTAATAGATACTTATTCCCTTGCCCTCTAATCAGATGTAAGCTACTTGGAGAGCAAGTGTTGTTTCATTTTTGTCTTTTCCTTCCTAGCATACATGCTCAGAACATAATAGCTACTTAATAAGTGTTTGTGGAATGTTGAATTAATTAGTGGGGATCAAACTGACTGATTTATTCAATCTGTCCCTCCTGCCAAGAAGATATCTCTAATAACAAAGAATTTAAAAAAGATTTTAAAAAATTGGTTCAACTAAACTAGCTAACACATGAACCAAACTGGACATTGCAGGCAGTGTTCCATACCCATAAATCCCTAACTCTGCAAAGCAAGGAAAGAAGTAAATTCTTTTTTTTTTTTTTTTTGGCTAGGCAATGGGGTTAAGTGACTTGCCCAGGGTCACACAGCTAGTAAGTGTTATGTGTCTGAGGTCGGATTTGAACTCAGGACCTCCTGAAGCCAGGGCCGGTGCTCTATCCACTGTGCCACCTAGCTGCCCCTAAAGAAGTAAATTCTTGCAGCTCTTCTTTGGGGCCAAGCCTGGTCATTATAATTTCATAGTATTCACTTCTTATCTTATTATTTTTTCCATTTACATTGTTGTAGTCATTGTATACATTGTTTTCCTAGTTCTTTCACTTTGCATCAGTTCATCATATAAGTTTTCCTATGCTTCTCTGTATTCATCACATTTGTATATCTGATAGCGCAAGAATACATTACATTCATGCTCCTCTACTTGTTCAGCCTGATGGTCATGTTCTTTGTTTCCAGTTCTTTGCTACTACAAAGAGTAGCCTCAAAGGGTAGAACTAGGAGCAGTTGCAAAGAGGCAGCTTTAGGCTTTGTGAAAGGAAAAACATCCTAACAAATAGAGCTGTATATATTTTGGAATATGTGAGACTTTTCTTTTTATCATTGACCTCCTTAAGGGTAGAGGTCTAGCAGCAAGATCTCTGGGTCCAAGGTATTGATATTTTAGTAATTTAGCATAATTCCAGATTGCTTTCTAGAATGACTGGATCAAACTGTCCACAGTATACACACCAGTTAAGCTGCACTTTTCTGAAGAGACCGGCCACAGTCTACCTGAAATGGGCTTTCAGAGGACCATCAAATGTTTACAGTTTCTGTTGCCCATGGAAGTGTAAAATAGAGAAATGACTCCCTCCTTATTGTTGCATATTTGATACATATGGGACAGGAGAACATTCAATTTAAGTAGAAAGAACAGTTTGTAAGAAAACCATTTAGTCAGAGTTCTCTAATCTTTGGGATTTCAGATTTTGTGATGCTTGGATGTACCAATAAACATGCTGTTGTTTCTCTTGTATAAAAAAAAAATGGTTGGACCAATTCATAGTGCTCTGAACAGCATCAGGCAGCTCTTTACTTTTACAGAGTTTTCATTACATCATTTAATTCTTGCTGTGAACAATCCTATGAAGTAGATAACTATTATTCTCCCCATTTAACAGGTGAGGAAATTGAAGTGGCTCAGGGAATTTAACTGACTTCCCCAAGGTCATGCAGCAAACAAATTACAGATTCATATCTCGGATTTGTGGTTCCCTCTCTTATGCTCTCTCTATTATGTACATACACATCCACACCTGCCCTTCTCTTCTATAATCACATTGATTACATACAAACTCATCCATATTATAATGTTCCCACTATTACAACCACCCATACACTTTCACACATAATCTCTGGCATTCACATTCCTGTTCACCCCTAATCTGTGCACATACTCATACTTTCTTTCTCACATTGCCACATCACTGGGAAAGGTGACATTTGAAAAAGCTCTGAGTCATAGTGAGTACAGGAACTGGGACTAAAGTTAGTCGGATGTCTGGAAGTGGGGTGAGTGGGGTTCAAGGTGCTGTCCTGCTTAGTTGCCCAGCAACAGATGGCCTGTGATAGCTCATTTCCAGATATCTATGTCTTAGATTGTGCTATGCCCTCATTGGATATAGAAATAGGTTGGAAGATTTCCCCCTAAGCATACCTTAATGGATTTAACCAATCCTTGTTCCAGGGTTCCATGTCTGAAGACTACCTACACATAAGCTTTTAATCATTAACTTCCTGCAACCTAATAAGCTACTTAGGACACAAGACCTGGGAAAATCAGTTCACTTGAGATAGCCTCAGAGGGCAGAAGTAGAGGCAGCTTTAGGCCTTGTGAAAGGAAAAACTTCCTGACAAATAGAGCTGTATGCTAACAATAACAACAGCAACAATTACAAGAATGATCATTTATATAGTGTTTTAATATTTGCAAAAAGCCTTACTTATTTTATTCTCAAAATAACCCTGTGAAGTAGGTGCTGTTATTATCTTCATGTTACAGATGAGGAAACTGAGGCAGACAGCGGTTAACTGACTCAACCAGGGTCACAAAACTAGAAAGTATCTGAAGCTGAATTTGAACTCAGATCTTGCTGACCCCATGTCCCACACTCTATCCACTGTACCGCTTAGGTGCTTTGTGGTAGAACGGGCTGCCTCAGGAGGTGGTATGTTCAACATCACTAGACGCATATGTATAGATTGGATGACTTTCAGGAATGTTGTGGAAAGGATTTCTGTTCAGGAAACCATTAGACACTGAGGTTCCTTTCAACCTTGAGCTTCTATATTCCTATGGGGTGGGATAGGATGGAAAAGCTCCCTTTGATCTTAAAATGTCCTTTCAGGAATGTTGCAGAAAGGATTTCTGTTCAGGAAACCATTAGACACTGAAATTCCTTTTAACTTGGAGCTTGTCTGATTTTGTGGAATGGGATAGGATGAACAAGTTCCCTTTGGTCCAATGTGTCCTCATGCCCTAAATGTGCGCTACTCTCCAGGACTCTGGGCTCTCCCCTCTGCCTCCATCCCTAACCTGTCCCACTCTCTTTCTTTCTGGTTTCACCCCCTTCCCGCAGGGCCCATTTGCAGTATACTGGTGGAGCGCTTTGGTTGCCGCATGACAGTGATGCTTGGAGGAGTCCTGGCCAGCTCAGGCATGGTGGCCAGCTCTTTCTCCCATTCCCTTAGCCAGCTCTACATCACAGCCGGATTCATCACAGGTGACAGCCATCAGCTGCCCTCCCTCTTTCTTCCCCTAACCTCCTATGTCCGGGGTTTGGCGGGATGGGGTCTTGGAGGAACAGTACCAGAAGATGGAAGGGAAGACAGCAGATCTGAGAAGTGTAGCTGGGGAGAGAGAGAGATGGACAGGCTGTTTAAAGACAGGAATGCTGTGCTGTTCTGGCTTGCTCCAGAAGTGATCTCTGGCTTATGCCCTAGAGGCAGCCTCAGTCATGGGCTAGAGGCCAATCCATGTCTAGCTGGGCTAGATAAGTGGGTGGGGAAAGGGGCAAAACTGCCACCTTAAGGAACTGTTGGGTGTGGGGAATGGACCTCAACTCTCATCATAGCTTTAGGAGACCCATCTAGAAGGATCACTGAGATGGCATCTCTTCCTTTCACTACAGGCCTGGGCATGTCCTTCAGCTTTCAGGCAGGAATCACAGTGTTGGGACACTACTTCTCCTACCACCAGGCACTGGCCAACGCATTGGCCTCAGCTGGTGTCTCCATTGGAATCACACTGTGGCCCCTGCTTTCCCGCTACCTCCTGGAGGATTTCGGATGGAGAGGCACCTTCTTGATCTTTGGTGGGGTCTTCCTTCATTGCTGCATCTGTGGGTCTGTCATGAGGCCTGTGGCTCCTAAGTCTGAGTCAGCCTACCCCCCACCCAACAAGGTCCCCGAACCGGGTTGTCTGTTGACTTGTGGTCGGGCTGTGCAGAGACATCTGGCCTTTGACGTCTTCCTCCAGAACCAGGGCTACCGCTTCTATACCCTGGGTGTGGTATGGCTGCTGATGGGCTTTATGGTTCCCCACATCTTCCTGGTGCCCTTTGCCTTGAGCCACAACATAGAAGAACACAAGGCTGCTTTGCTCATCTCCATAATTGGCTTCAGCAACATATTCCTCAGGCCTGTGATTGGGGTGGTGGCTGGCTGGTCAATGTTTGCTGGTCATCGTGTGTACCTTTTTGCCCTGGCAGTCTTGTTAAATGGGCTGAGTAACCTCATCTGTGTCATCTCAGCCAGATTCTCTGTGCTGGTTTTCTATTGCCTGGTGTACAGCATCTCCATGAGTGGCATCGGGGCTCTGCTCTTCCAGGTGCTCATGGATATAGTGCCCATGAACAGATTCTCCAGTGCCCTGGGCCTCTTCACCGTCCTTGAGAGTTTCACCGTCCTCATATCTCCTCCTCTGGCTGGTGAGGATACAGAGGTTACCAGTTGGGGAAGGATGCTGGGGATAGTATCTGGGAAAGGAAACTTACTGTGGGAGGAAAAATTGGTTTTGGTTCTGTTACTTACCATAACTGTAATCCCAGGCAAGTCACTTAATCTCTCTAGGCCTCAGGTTTCCTCGTCTATTAAAAAACGAGATGGCTAAACTAGATGGTATCTAAGGCCCCTGTCAGATCTAAATATTATAAGCCTATATGTAGGTGCCCAGGGAAGGAAAATTGCATATACCACACAGTCTGACTTAAGTAGATGATATAGTGAGAAAAGTATGAGATTTGGAGCCCAAAGGCCTGGATCCAAGCCTTGCTGGCCTCTTAACTAGTTATATGACCTTTATTTCCTCAACAATAAAATGGTGATAATATTACCTACCTTGGCCACTTCCCAGAGAATCTCACTTTGACAACAGGAAAATGCTACGTTATTTATGTAATTTTTCAGGACTTGGGAATCTATCAGGGAGGATGACCCTCAGAAATAGCTCCTAAGCTCCCTGCATGCCTCCCCTCACTCAACCTGGCTTCCCTCTCCCATGCAGGTCTACTTTTAGACACTACCAGCAACTTCAGCTACATTTTCTACATGTCCAGCTTCTTCCTCATCTCAGCTGCCTTCTTCTTGGGCCTCAGCTTCTTCATTCTCAACAAGAATAAGGAGAAACAAATGACGGACAGAGTCCATGAAGAACTGACTCTGGAAAAGGACCTCGCCCAGAGATGCACAGAGGAGCCTTCGACTCAGCCACACTCCACAGTCACATATGTGACATATGTCACAAGTGTCTGAGCCAAGGAGCTCGAGGGGGCATAGACCACCAGTCCTCCCTGACTCTAGGCCTTCCTGTGCTAGCCCTCCCTTTATTATGTCTCGTTGGTCTCCCCACTCAAGGCCCAATGAAGCACTAGCTTCTTGAGCTCTCTTACCCTGTGATCAGAAGGCTCCTCGAACCCCTGGCTCTCTCCCCTTGAGGGGACCAGAAAGAGGACCTTGCTTGTATCTTTTCCCACCTCCCTGCCTCTCCCACCTCTCGGGAAGGAGCAGCAAGGTCTATCTCCGAGAGAACTAGGGGAGGCTGTGAGCAGCACTGGGCAGAGGGAACCAGATTTGTTCTAGCTGAGATCAAGAAAAACAGTATGTTTGAATTATATACAAGGACATTGTTTCTTGGAGCAACTGGCTATAAAACTCTTTGAACTAATGAGGTGAATTGATGAAGCACAGAAAATAAGTGTGGGGTAAGTTTTATTTCCCTTATCCTGCCCCTTCTTTTTTTTTTTTTTTCCTCCACTTGGCAGAAGCAGTCTGGTTGGAATTTTGTTTGTTGATTTGACTGGATTGAGTTTCCAAAAAGAAGCTTTCTCAGGGACCTTTAAGAATTGATTTTCTTTGCATGACCTGAACTTACTCTCTGTTCTGCTGCATGCAGGCAGGGCTGGAGTGCCATGGCCCTGATTGTGCCCAGCAGGGTTGAGTCAGGGCCCTCATTGGCACCCCCTGTCTCATTATCAAGTGAATGTGGACCTACTCTGGATCTCCCTGCTTCCCCGTGCTAAAATCCCACCTAACCCCTGTGCTGTAAGACAGAGATGCTTCAGGCACAAGCCCCTGTATTGAACTAGTTTTCCTGATAGGGCAGAGGGGAATTCAGATTTACAGGATATTTGTCAAGTACCCACTGTGTACCAGGCATTGTGCTAGCCATCGTGGAGAATGCAAAGATGAGCAAAAGACTGTCAGAGAATGCTAGAAGCTCTCCAGTAGCTCATGGTCTAACAGTAGGGCAGGCTGGAAGTCTGGCATGGGCCAGCAGGCACATATATTTGCTGCTAAATATCAAGCCTTAAAGGTTTTATGTAGGGTTTGGTTTTTTGTGTTTTTTTTAATTTTTATTTTTATTTTTTTGTGGCCCCCCTCCCCTGCAAGGTTAGGAGGCAGCTAGGTGGCTCAGTGGAGCCTGGGCCTGAAATCAGAAAGATCTGAGTTCAAATCCAGCCTCATATACTTACTAACTTGTAACTCTGGGCAAGTCACTTAACCTGTTTGCCTTAATCCACTGGAGAGGGAATGGCAAACCACTCCAGTATCTTTGCCAAGAAAATCCCACAGACAGTGTGGTTTTATGGGGTCATGAAGAGCTGGACATGACTGAATAACAACAACCCTTGCGGGGGGGGGGGGGGGGCAGGGCAGGCCAAAGGCCTAATAAAAAGCTAATCCCTGAAATCGCAGTTTACCAGCACAAAAGTCTTTTTCTCTAACCCCAAAACCCTAGGTCATTGCTCTCCTCTCCCAGAACATTTCTAACTCCACCCTATCCCCACTTCCCCATAGTGGCAACAGTCCCAGGGTGAGATAAGGACCAAGGACAGAGCATCAGTTTGCAAGGTGGAAGGATCTGGAAGGTGACATGCAGAGGGAAGTGGTTTAATTTTGGAGCCACTCCCTTAAAAGACCCAGAAATAACCCCAATTCTCCTTCTGGGCTTTTCATAGCAGTGGTCTGGTCCGGGACCTCTCCAGAAAACACATTTAATCTGGATCTCATCTCTCTGCCCACCACAAAGATCTAGATAGAGGACCTAGAACGGAAAGGTGGGATTCTCTTGTCCTTCAGTGACCTCATTGCTCTGCAAGATAAATGGATGGAGGATACCCACCCACCCAGGGTGGAGTCAATTTCTCCACTGGGTGATAGGATCAACTGGTACATTAACTCCCCCAAGAAGCCAGCCCCAGTAACTGCAGCCCTAGCAAGAAAGCCATGGCGTTTGGTAGAAATAAGGATACCCTTTTGATTTGGAGAAGTAGAAAGGACACATTTGTTGAATGAGTCAATCAACAAGCATTTATTATAATATATACCAAGTACTGGGCTAAGTGGTGGGGATACAAAGACAAAGCACACAAATCTTGGCCCTCAAGAAGCTTACATTCCCTATCTGGGGAGATACATGTATATAAATACATACAGAATATATATTTTTAGAGCAGACCTGTGATTTCATTTTTAGGGGGCATTCTTGATAAGGAAACTCCCTCTACACATGCAGATCAAGACTTGTTCTGAAACTCAAGAGTATTAGTGAGCTGTCTGGGGATGCTGAGAGGTTGTGACTTGCTGAGGGTCATCTAGTATGTATAAGAAGTGGGACTCAAACCCAGGGCTCCCTGACTCCAAGACCATCTTGCCAAACTTTTCTGATCATGTAGCACATGTCAAGAATTTAAGCACATAATTCTAATATATGTATATTTACTTATTTATGATTACATACATGTACTACTGAACTAATAATTGTGTGTATTATATAACATACACAAAATAGAAAATTTTTAAATGAGTAAATAAAATATTTTCAATATTATTTCGTTATTAATGATCTAAAACCCTTTTTTGTTCTTGATAGAATTATTAATGTTAATGATATCTCAGTCAAAGGAATGTCAGTCAACAAGCATTTTTAAAGTACTCACTATGCCAAGTACTGGGGTTACCAAGAAAGGCACAATATGATTGAATATGCTTCATTATACGTGAAAATCTTGGTTTAACATTTTGTGACACAGCAATTGAAAGGTCTCATAAGTACAGTTTATTTGAATACTTGTTCTAAAAGGCTGTAATAGCTGAAGAAGATAGTTCACAAGGTTATATACGGCCTCAAAACAAGAAGCACATTGTTGACCACACTTACTAAATCAGTCTTCAATTTTCAGTCCCTTCCACCAAGTATATGCAAAGGTTTTTGTTGAACATAAGCCAGTAAATTTCTCTTTCTTGATATCAATTGATCTTGAGAACGAATTGCATTTTTCTGTTTTTAGCAAATGGGTTCAAAATCCACTGAAAGTCTTCATTGGGAAAATTTTTAAATACTTTAAAAAAATTTTTTTCCAATTTTTTAAAAATAGCAGATATAAGCATGGCACCAGCATTTCTAGAGAGATGGTAGACACTCAAGCAGATGCTATCCCAGAGTCCACCAGTATCATGATGGAATATGTTGGAGGATTTCTGGGAAAGGGGAGCTAAAGGGAGTAAGCTTAAGAACTTAATCTCCCATCTTCACACAAGGTGGGCAGTCCAGGGTTGAGCCACATGCTGCATCAACAAGTATGCGCTCTCCTGCTTTTTGAGACTTTAACAGACTGTCACATTGCCACTACTGCTGATGCAGTTGTTTCGGGTGGACCAAAGTGGGGCTGAGAGACTGCCTGATAGCTGAGATTGCTGACTGGTAAGACATCTTCTTCATCTCCACTATTCTGTGTGGGGGATGGGTGTAACTCTCATTAGTTGCTTGACTCTTGAGTTTTTGCCTTTACTCCTTCCCATGAGGGATTTAAAGAATTAAAAGCAGAAGAAGCCATTTTTGCTTTGTATGTGCATTTGCTGCATTCTGTTCAAATGAACTGTCGTCCTCCCCTTTGCCCACTCTTCTTTCATTGGTATTATTTTATTCTCCTTTATTTAAAGGAAAATCTGGTAGTCACTAGTCCATGTGATTAGTGCTAGAGTGGAGATTTGGAGAAAGGCTTGGATCTGATTAGAAAGAGAAAAGGGGCAGCTAGGTGGCGCAGTGGACAGAGCACTGACCCTGAAGTCAGGAGGACCTAAGTTCAAATCCAGCCTCAGACCAAACACTTGACACTTACTAGCTGTGTGACCTTGGACAAGTCACTTAACCCCAATTGCCTTAAAAAAAAAAAAGAGAAGAGGCTGGAGGTGCAGGGTAGGAGGGAAAAGCAAATTGGATCCATGGGGAACTCACAAGTAAAATTAAGGTTCATTGAGATAGTATTCCTAAACCAGCCAGCAGAAGTTCCCTGTAATGGGCAAGACCTGAGTCAAGCCAGTGCATTAGTTTAGGTACAATGTTGGAACAGACTGAGATATTCATTAGTCATTCCACAATTAAACACAAGGTCTATTTAGCCATAGTATACATGCAATATTCACCAAAGATACTGCAGCACTTAATTTGGGGAGATAGGACTTGCTCCACCCTATATGCGAAAATGTCTGGTCTGGTAGGGCAGGATGGGGTGACTTGTGGTTTTAGAAATCTTCCAAGTCCGAAGGGTGCCAACTCCATCTAGATGAGCTTTCTTATGCCCTTAGATAACCTGGAAGCCACATTGTCTATACAGCTGGAGGTCAGCAGAGACACAGACTTGAGCCTTAAGCCCCCTGGCTGTAGCATTCCCATAAGACTGATTAATAATATAAATGTAAATTGACCCCCTAGAAGAGGCATGGGGAACCTGGGACTTCGAGGCCACAGGTTCTCCGTCCCTGCCCTAGATGTAGTACATATAAGCCCTTGAGGCAAAGATAAGCCCTGGAAAGGGGGTGTGGGGAATCTTCACTACCAGCTATACCTCACATGTGGTATTCTTTACCAGTACCTACACATAGAATTTTTCCTATTAAACCTGCAACGAAGGCCCCTGTTCCCTTGTAAAATGATACAGCAGCGGATACTCCCCTTATTTTCCCTTGCGTCCTTTATATGTGGGTACTTCACATGAGGGGTGAGTGCCTCAGCCTCTGAGGGCACAGTCAATCAATCTGTTAGTTTGACATGAGAGCTAAGTTTATGTACCCAACCAAGATTTACATATGTGATCACTCCTTTTAATCCTAACCCATGGCAGCCTCTTCCCTTGTATTTGTTACAGGGTAAATGTCACAATTTTTATTTCTTTATAGGTTTTTTAATAGGTAACACACCTAGGTCATTTTCTGAGGGGAGAGAGTATCTCTTAAGGTGTAGTCCATTGTGTTAAATGCTGCAGAGAGGTCAAGAATAATGACTGGGGAAAATCCATCAGGTTTGGCTGTTGTTTTTTGTCCTTCATTCCCGAAGAGGACCATGACATCAGGGAGGTGATGCCCTGACATGCAAGTGAATTGGATTTAAGCGAGAGAGCGCTATGCAAAGTCACCAGCTTCACTTTCTCCCCCAGAGCCATCTGAGTCCAGTGGCAAGATACATATCAGAATGACTGGAAATCACTCTGGATGCAGTGGGAGACCTTGACCATTTTAAGCTAAGGTCTTGCCCAGGTCTCAGTTTGACAGAGGCAAAGTCCATTCAGTGATTAAGGCTAGGTATGAAATGACGCAGAGAATGGCCTTTTTACCTAGTTTAAAAAAAAAAAATCAGTGTGGGAGGGGAATACCCTCAGGGTTTCTGGCCAAAACAGAAACTACTGCTAGTTGTATTCACTCT